CCGCACCGCCGCCGTGGGACCCCGCCCGGAGCTACATCACCGTCGCCTCGTCGTCCTCGCCGGATCTCCCTCGTCGGACTTCCCCGAACTCCGTCGAGCCCGCTGCCCGGACCTTACCCCCCCGCAGTGAGCACCCCCGCGCCCCTCCTCTCTCTCCCTCGTCCGGCCGCGTCCCCGACTGGCCTCACGGCGCCGCACCACGCCGGTCGCCCCGTGCCCTCGCCAGCCCCGCTCAGCGCCCTCCCCTGCACATCCCCGATGCGCGTTCGCGCTCACCGCGCGGCAACCGCGCCCGTTCGCGCGCCCGCGCCCCGCCTTTGCTCGCGGCCACCACGGCCACGGCCGTTCCCGCTCGCGACCTTGTCCTTCCTCTCGTTGGCCCGTGCCCGCTGCTGCCCTTCTGCCGGCGTCCCATTCCGGCGACCGCCCGTACTACGCCGTCGACCACGTGCTCGGCGCCGGCGCCCCCCTCTGCGCCCGCTCGGCCCTCTCCTGGGTAGGGCGCCCCGCAGCGCCTAGCGCCCGCACCTGCGGCGCCCGTAGCACCCAAACCCAATATGGCCCTTGGGGCCTATGACAGATGGGCCCCATGCCCATAACGTTTTTTTAAAAAAAAAGAGGAATTAAAAATAAAAATAATAGATAAAAATGATTTAATAAAATTAATCATTAATTAATTAATTATTTAATGAATTAATTAAGTTAATTAATCCGGTTTAATTAATTTAATTAACTAGTTAGGTTAATTAAATAGTAATTAAATTAACTAATCTGTAATTAACCTAAACAGAGAATGACAGGTGGGACCCACAGGACCCACATGTTAGGTTGACCAGGTCAACGGTCAACGCTGACTGCTGACGTCAGCATGACATCATGTTGATGTCATAAATCCATTTTTCGAATTAATTAAATAATTAATTAAATTCTAGAAATTAATAAAATCTTTAGAAAATCATATCTTTTAATCCGTAATTCGGATTAAAATATTTTCAACATGAAAGTTGCTCAGAACGACGAGACGAATCCGGATACGCAGTCCGTTCGTCCGCCGCACACCCCTAACCTATCGAACCCGCAACTTTCCCCCTCCGGCTCCTCTGCCCGAAAACATGAAACACCGGGGATATTTTCCCGGATGTTTCCCCCCTTAACCGGCATCACCTCATACCACGTTAGGGCCCGCCTAGCATCGTTACTTGTCTTGTCATGCATCGATATGCATCTGTTTACATGGTATTCATTGTTTCTTCCCCCCTTTTTCTCTCCGGTAGACTACGAGACCGACGCTGCTGCTGCCCGGTTTGACTACGGAGTTGACGACCCCTCCTTGCCAGAGCAACCAGGCAAGCCCCCCCCCCCTTGATCACCAGATATCGCCTATTCTCTTCTATACTGCTTGCATTAGAGTAGTGTAGCCTGTTACTGCTTTCCGTTGATCCTATTCTGATGCATAGCCTGACATTGTTGCTACATCTGTTGATACCTTCCCTGCAATCCTAAATGCTTAGTATAGGATGCTAGTTTATCATCATTGGCCCTACATTCTTGTCAGTCTGCCTTGCTATACTATTGGGCCGTGATCACTCGGGAGGTGATCACGGGTATATATTATACATACATACATACTTTACAGATGGTGACTAAAGTCGGGTCAGCTCGAAGAGTACCCGCGAGTGATTCACGGATTGGGGGCTGAAAGGACCTTTGTCCCGACGGCCCTCTGTGTGGATCTTTGTGGCGGAGCGACAGGGCAGGTTAAGACCGCCTAGGAGAGAGGTGGGCCTGGCCCTGTTCGGCGTTCGCGGATACTTAACACGCTTAACGAGATCTTGGTATTTGATCTGAGTTGGCTACGAGCCTATACGCACTAACCAACTACGTGGGAAAGATATGGGCACTCGGCGTCGTGGTATCAGCCGAAGCACTTCGTGACGCCAGCGACTGAGTGGCGCGCGCCGGATTGGAACGTAAGCCTGCTCTTATATTAAGGGGGCTAGTTCTGCTTTCGGCCGCGTACGCAACGTGCAGGTGTGCTATGGGCGATGGGCCCAGACCCCTGCGCGCTTAGGTTTAGACCGGCGTGCTGGCCTCTCTGTTGTGCCTAGGTGGGGCTGCGACGTGTTGATCTTCCGCGGCCGGGCATGACCCAGGAAAGTGTGTGCGGCCGAATGGGATCAAGCGTGTTGGGTAAGTTGGTGCACCCCTGCAGGGAAGTTAATCTATTCGAATAGCCGTGATCTTCGGTAACAGGACGACTTGGAGTTGTACCTTGATCTTATGACAACTAGAACCGGATACTTAATAAAACACACCCTTCCAAGTTCCACAGACAACCCGGTGATCGCTTTTCTACAGGGCGACGAGAGGAGGATCGCCGGGTAGGGTTATGCTATGCGATGCTACTTGGAGATGCTGCTTGGAGATGCTACTTGAAGATGCTACTTGGAGGACTTCAATCTACTCTCTCCTACATGCTGCAAGACAGAGGCTGCCAGAAGCGTAGTCTTCGACAGGATTAGCTATCCCCCTTTTATTCTGGCATTCTGCAGTTCAGTCCACCGATATGGCCCTTTACACATATACCCATGCATATGTAGTGTAGCTCCTTGCTTGCGAGTACTTTGGATGAGTACTCACGGTTGCTTTCTCCCCCTTTTTTCCCCTTTCCTTTCTTTCTGGTCGACGCAACCAGATGCTGGAGTCCAGGAGTCAGACGCCACCGTCGACGACGACCCCTACTACACCGGAGGTGCCTACTACTACGTGCTGTCCGCTGACGACGACCAGGAGTAGTTTGGAGGATCCCAGGCAGGAGGCCTGCGCCTCTTTCGATCTGTATCCCAGTTTGTGCTAGCCTTCTTAAGGCAAACTTGTTTAACTTATGTCTGTACTCAGATATTGTTGCTTCCGCTGACTCGTTTATGATCGAGCACTTGTATTCGAGCCCTCGAGGCCCCTGGCTTGTATTATGATGCTTGTATGACTTATTTATGTTTTAGAGTTGTGTTGTGATATCTTCCCGTGAGTCCCTGATCTTGATCGTACACATTTGCGTGCATGATTAGTGTACGATTGAATCGTGGGCGTCACAGGGACGCACGCGTAGAGGTGAGGCGTGATCTCGCGGACGGAGCGCCCATCAATCCATCGGTCTTCCCAAAACAGGGCGTGCATGCTGTTCCCAAGAGACATGGTGGTAGAGGCGAAGAAGAACGCGCGATCGTCGTCGCTGAACTGCAGGTCCAGCCCGGCCCAAGCCCTGCCTTGGTCAGTGCGGCTGAACCACAACCACCGCGTGCGGAGCGCGAGGCCCGTGCGCGCCAGGTCGCGGATGCCCAGCCTGCCGAGAGCGATCGGCCTGGCGACGCGCTGCCAGTTGACGTGGCAGCAGTTGCCGCCGTTAGCCTCCGCTCGCCCGGCCCAGAGAAGCCTCACCGGTTCTTCTCAAGCGCCTTCAGTGTCTTCTTTGGGGGGGGGGGGTAAGCACGAGCAGTTGATGGATGGGGATCGCCGCCAGGATCGCCTTGACAAACGCGAGGCGGCCCGCCTTGTTCATGAGGTGCGCCTTCCAGCAAGGTAGCATGCCAGCGACTTTGTCTACGACGGGCTGAAGCTGGGTAGCAGTGGGTCGTCGCAGCGTGAGCGGGATGCCTAGATAGGTGATCGGCATCTCCACCATGGGGTAGCCCAGCTGGTGCCAAACCTATAGTGTCGCAGGACGTCGAAGAGGAACGGCCAGCTGATCGAGTCGAAAGCGTGAGTTAGGTCCAGCTTGAGCAGAACGCGTGGCGCGCCTAGTTGATGTAGCAGGCGCGCAGACTGCCGCACGAGGACGAAGTTGTCATGCAGGCTTCTTCCTAGGATGAATGCATTTTGGCTGGTGCTGACGAGATCGTTAAGCTTGGGCGCAAGGCGGAGCGAGAGGACCTTGGCAAAGATCTTGGCGACGAGGTGGATGAGGCTTATGGGCTTGTAGTCGCCGAGGCCCCTGGCATCCGCGCACTTCGGGAGCAACGTGAGGAGCGCCTGGTTGAGGTAGCTGAATCCGCGCCCTCGCAGCTCGTAGAGTTGCTGGAAGACAACAATGAAATCCTGCCGAACTATGGGCCAACATGCGCGGAGAAACTCGGCGGTGAAGCCGTCGGGGCCGAGGGCCTTGCGTGCGGGCAGGAGCTTAATGATGTTCCAAATCTCCTCGCCGTCGAAGGGAGCCTCGAGGTCGTCCAAGTTGACAGGCGTGATCAGCGCCTCAATCTCCAGAGCGCACTCACGGGGTGGCGCAAAGCCCAGGAGACCATCGAAGTGCGCATACGCCGCCGCGGCCATGTCGCAGGGGTCCGTGACCACACGTCCGCCGACCACAAGGCTGTGGATCCTGTTCTTCTGCCGCCTATATGTGCACTGCCGGTGGAAGAAGGACGTGTTGGCATCCCCGTCCTTGAGCGAGGCGAGGCGGGAGCGCTGCCGGGCAATGGTTCGCTCGAGTGAGGCGAGGCTGAGGTAGGATGCCTTGAGTTGCCGGCGCAGCCAGTCCTCGTGAGGAGACAAGGCTCAGTAGTCTTGCGCGGTGTCAAACTTTGAGGAGCTCTCGAGAGATTGCGAGCTTTAGGCGCACATTACCCATTGTTTTGGCGCTCCAACTTGTGAGCCCACGCGCCGTTGCTTGCATGCGCAGCATGAGGTGGCGGAAGGGGTCGGCGTCGCTCACGGACTGCCAAGCGGCCTCCACGGTGTCATGAAACCCGTCCATGCGCGTCCAGAAGTCCGCGAAGCGGAAGCGGCAATGTGCCGGCGCCATCGGCAAGTAGTCGAGCAGCAAGGGGCTGTGGTCGGAGACGACCGAGGCGAGGCACCGGAGGTGGCACTCACCATGCAACTCCTCCCAGTCGGCGGTGCAAAGGACACGGTCAAGGTGGACCAATGTCGGGGGCGACTACTCGTTGGACCACGTGTAGCAGCGACCGTTGAGGTAAACCTCCTTGAGTGCCAAGTCGTTGATGGTGCGCCGGAAGCGGCCCATCATGCGTCGGTTAACGTTCCGGTTGTTCTTATCTTCGTTGCGATATATGAGGTTGAAATCCCCACAAATCATCCAAGGCCCGGAGCAGTCCATGCGTATGTCGCGGAGCTCCTGCAGGAAGGCGATCTTGGCCTCGTCCGGTTGCGCTCCGTAGACCACGGTGATCCACCACGGAGTGCGAGCGCCGAAGGGGGTGGAAAAACGGGCGGTCAAGGCGTTGGCGGTGAATAGGGGATCCAGAGATGACTATCTCCCTACTCTTCCAGGCCAACAGGATGCCGCCACGGGTTCCTTGCGCGGGCAGGTACACATAGTCATCGAACTCCGAGCCGAGGGCTTCGAGGACAGTCGACGAGCAGATCAAAGCCATCTTAGTTTCTTGCAAACAGACGAGGGATGCATTGGCGGTTACAACAAGCGACCTGACAGCAGTGCGACGTGCACGCTCGTTGAGGCCGCGCACGTTCCATATCAAGACTCTAGGGTTTTGCTCCATGGGGATGAGGTCGACGAGGGGGGCGAGGGCGAAGCTAGGCCTCGATCGGGCTGCCCGCAACCACCGTGGTGATAGGCGCGACGGCAGGATCCGCGGGGAGCTCGCGATCCACCAGAGCGGCGATGGCCGATAGGACCGACAAGGGGATGGGCGCGGCAAAGAGGTCGTCGTACGCCTTCATCTCCGCGGCTGTGATCTTCTGGTTGACACCAACGACCCCAAGGGTGCGCAAGATGTGGACTTGGGCACGTCGCTCGGCCGTGGGAGGGGCGACGGACTTGCGGGCTGCGGTCGCGGCTGATCGCCCGCGGCGTGGGGAGAAGTTGGGCGGGCAGCGCCTTGGTCGTTTGCCAGGGACCGGGAGAGCTGCATCGATCTGTTTGGTGGCCGCCACGAGGAAGTCGCCAAGGGTCCAGGTCGTAGTTGCAGCCGCGCGGGGGCGGGACCGTCGCATCGTGATGGGAGGCGAGGCGAAGCGCATGGCCGGGCTGGGAGTGGCGGGGCACGCCGTGTGGGCGGCGCCATCCACGAGCGCGCCATGTTGGGCCTCCAGCC